TGGGAATCAAACCAGAGACCCTCGATTCAGTAACATCATTAATCACAAATCTTCAAACCACGTTGGTCTGAAGCTGAACAAATTTGAAGAAAAAAACTTTTAATGCTAAAATCAGGTAGCCCATTATTTAGCTTTCTGCTCGACAACAACCAAGTTATAACCGCAATAATTCAATTACTTGGATAGTTGGAATAATCACAAATAATAATAATTAGAAACCCTAAATTGGTTTAGTTGATTAGTTTTGTAACATGAATCAATTTAATCTTAATTTTGATTAATCAATTACCTTACATGACACTAAGTGATGTAATCACTGCTCAATATCAAACATTTATATTGCTTCATTGATTAACTTGCCAGCTCCACATTTTCAATGGGTTGCCTTCAGATGCTGTGAATGCAGTAAATTTATGGAAAGCTTGATAAAAATTTAAATGACAAGTGAGGGCTTTCAGTTTGTTTGTTGTTGTTTTTTAAAGTTCGGTTTATGGGACAGCTCAGTGGAGCTACAGGCCCCTTGTTGTCCTTAAATGTTATGTTAGATAGAACTTGTCAATTAACTCAATGAAATGATACAATCAATTACCCTTGAATCAATTAGTGTCATGTAATATAATTAATTAATTGAAATTATAATTAAACTGATTATTGTCATAAAAATAATGAACTAATCAAAATATTGCCATTATTATTTTCTATCATTTCTGACTAATTCAAAGTTAAGCTTAACTGATTAGTGCCACAATTCACAAAAATAATTAATTAATTAAACTTACCATTTCCAATTACTATCTTTAATTATTCCAACTATCCAAATCTCATGGGAGATTAATCAGCTATTTGAATGTAATCAATTAACGAGCCTGATTATTAATCCATCATTAAATTCCATTAATTCTGCAGCTTTAGCATTAGGACAGTGTAATTTTAGATTTATTATTAACTTCTAATAAAGAAATGATTGAAAGGGTGAATACTGGGGAACACCTGGGTGCAGGCGATCATTGTTCAATTTGTTTTACTGTATGTAGAGATCAAGAACACAGAGATTGTGGTAACAAATTAAATAAAAATTGAAAGGATGTGACAAGAATTATCTGTTTCGAATTGGACAACTTAATAAATTGCAGATATTGATCAAATGTGAAAAATTTTAAATAAATCTTAAACATTCAAGAGACATGTCCCTTATAGAAATAAAAAAAAGGAATGGCTGCAAGTAAAGACCAGATTTTCTCACAAGGTGTTTATGAGTTAAATTAAAGGAAACTGTTATAAATATAAGTTTAAGTTGATTGCTATGATGGGATACTTATAACATTATAGAAGATCAAAAAAGTTGGGCAAACAACATACTAGGAAATGAAGAATACATATGATAAGGGAAGGCTCATTATTGATAATTATGAGTTGGCTGAATTATTAAATTCTACTTTTTTTTTCAGTTTTTACTAATAAAGACTTAAGTACTTTTCCTCATTCTGAAAAGTTGCTAGATGGAAACAAGACTGAACAAGATGATCACATTAATTCTGAATATGTTAAGAAAAAAAAAGGGAAGTTTAAAGAATTACAAGACTCCTGGTCCATGTGTTTTGAAGGAAGTTAAAAATTGAATATGTTAGCCACTTGCTACTATTTTTTGTAAGTCCTGGAACAGTGTGTAGGTACCAGAAGACTGGAAGTTGACAAATGGTACCACAATTTTCAAAAGAGGTAACAAACACCGTATAGGTAATTACAGATGTATTAGTTTTACAAGATTGGTGGGAAAAGTTTTTAAAAGTTGGATAAAGGATGCTTTGTAAAGTCACTTAAAAAAAGTTAAAAACTTTGTTGGATAGCCAACATGATTACACTGGGGGAAAATCCTGCCTTATAAATCCTTTGACATTCGTTGAAGATGTTACTGCTTATGTATACGAGGGTAGAAGTGTGGAGTTGACATATATGGATTTTCACAAAGCATTTGACAATTTGCCGTGTAAAATGCTCATTAAAAAACTATCTCTATAAAGTAAGAAGGTTAAGTAGGTACACTGGCTGTATAGTAGAAAGCAGTTTTTACAAATAGAATTCAGTCAAACTATATTAATGTCAACTGGGATACCTCAGGTCTCATTGTTAGAAACTGCTCTTTTTGACTTATCAATGGTCAACAGATTTCTTAACTTTGCTGATGATCTTGCTGTCTGCAAGGATGCTACTGTTGCTTTACAAAAGGATTTAAATATATAGTGAATTGGGCAAATAACAGCAGATGGCTTTTAATTATAATACATGCAAGGTAATGCATCTTATTTTATATGACAAGTATAATTAATGCTTGAAATAAACAACATAACACTAAATTGCTGTTTTTCTTTAATTAGACATTCAACATTTCACTTTACAGCTTCTTCAGAAGCATTTCACTTAAACACAAACCTTACGGTTTGTGTTGTCATTTAAGACAATTGAAGAAGCTGTAAATTGAAATGTTGAATGTCTAATTAAAGAAAAACAATCTGTTGTTATAAGATCATTTATTTCTAGTATTAAAATGTCTTCTATACACCAATATGCACCACATAAACTAAATAATAAAGTATAATTAATTTTGATGGGGATAACCTTAACAGCAACACATAAGAAAATTATCTTTTTTTTTTTTGATGTTCTGGTTGGCCAGTCTCTTAAGCTATTCAAGCAGTATGCTGTTCCTAAAGGTAAGGCAAATAGGATTTTCAGTTTGTATTTACAGAAATGCTGAATACAAATCTAAAAAGATTATAATTTCCTTTTACATGTCATTGGTTAGGCTACATTTGGAGTATTGTGTTCAGTCTTAGGCTCCTTATCTTAGGAAAGGCAATGAATTGCTGGAAATAGCTAAGAGAGGGACTGCTGGGATGATACCTTGGAGTTGGACAGAAAGGTTGTCAAATAAAAAGGTTAAGATCACTGAAATGGTTTTAGATTGTTAAGTGAACTAATAGTGTTGATGGATCACTTTATTTCACACTTAATTTTGAGAATGATAGGACTAGG